ATAGACAGCATGCTGGCTGGGGAATTCTGGGAGTTGAAGTCCACTCATCTTAAAGTTGCCAAGGTTGAGAAACACTGCCTTAATCACTACGCCAAACTGGCTCTCAGTTACTCTAGGCATACTCAAGTCACAATCTGCCAGGGTGAAATCTGTCACTTAGTAAAGAGGTCATTGGTTACATATCCTGATGCTTCTGGGCTGAAGTAGGGGCCTTTTTTCAAGCAGCATGGAGGCTGATTTGTTTGATGTAACTTGCAGAACCTACCATAACCAGGTGGTAAAACTCCATCTTGGGCATTCTCTTGAAAAAAGCTACACTGTTCAGGAACGGAAAGTCTTTTTTCTTCTTCTTAGCCTTCATTTTGGAGGCTTATGTGTCAACATTTTAAAACTGAACATTTAAAATTGGGTTTATGACTGATGACATCTGTACCACGTGGGTTTTTGTTGTTTACTTTGATGACACCAATGATTAAAACTACTGATAAGCTCTCATGATAAGTTAATATACACTGCGACTATTTCTATATATTCTCTGTTTCCAAGCTGGCAGAAAAGAAGGCAACTGCAGATTGACTTTGATTTGGAAGAACTAGAGGATGGAATCAGTGGCAGTTTGAAACTGCCCAAGAAATCTCTAAGGCCTGAAGATTTATTTCCTCTCCTCCACCAAGAGTTCCCACTTGACTGCAAGGACTATTAAGCAACAAACTGCAAAGGAATTAATTCTTTTCCAACCAAATTACGATAAAAAAAACAGTTTTATCATGACATACTTATGATCTTCCAGAAATGGCTTGCCACATCTCTCCAGATATTGAATGTGCAACTCCCATCACTCCAAGAGCTTGGGCAAGAGTGAGGAATGGCAGGAGTTTAACAACACCTGGAGAAAGACAGATATTTTTCATTTTATCTTTCATAAACAGAAGCATTAGAACCAAGACATGGCAATAAAAGCAAGAAAGCAAGCAAACAACAAACTTCCAAAGGATGCTTCAAAAAGTACCCCTACAATATGGTGTCAAAAGGTACAGATAAGGTTACAAAAGCAAAGTAAGCCAATGTTCATTAGAGTATTGTTCTGCATTATAATTCCTAATAAATTACAAATCCACTCTTTCTAATTTATTTCAAGCACATTCTGCTTTTTATTTCTTTCAAAATATTTATATGTGTGACTGTAAAACTCATTTGTTTCTTAACATTTTCAGCTGTTTAGTGATTTCTTACTCCCTCTAATACATTTAAAAACTCTACATTGATTTCTGTGGTTGCCCTTTTGCATCAACACAATGCACCAGAAGGGCCAGAACTAAATATCTGGATATCACTCTTAATATCTTCCGGAGCAAAGGCTAACTCTTGCCATGCATAGAAAGATAGCGGTGTGCCCATTCTGACAGAGAGTTTTCTTTAGACTCACACAAGTTTCAGAAACAGTACAGGTATGACATATTGGTGACCCAATGTCTGAAGCCTGGCGGAATGGCCCCAACATTTTAGAGGCTGAGATAAGACCTAGCAATTTAGAGAGCCTTTGGCTGAGATCAAGTTCTTCTGCTTACCATGTTCATCTTTCTCCCTTGTTTTGATCTATGGTTGCTTTAGTGTTTCAGAATATTTTTGTTGTTTTATGTTGTTGCTTGATTTACTGCTGTTATTATTGGTAAGTAGGTTAATACAAAGGAAGTTGGGAACTTCTCAAAAATAAGATCCTGGAAGTACAGTCACACATCATTGGAAGTACTTTAGAAAATTGTTGTGAATGTATAGGGAGTTTTCAAATGAGTAGGAGTTAAAAGGGACATGTATAAGAAATAGAAGATAGGTATAATCACCAAGATGATATAACAAAATAGATAATATCTGCAGACAGAAAGACAGAATGGCTAAGGCACAAAAGAAACTTAGGGAAGCTAAAAGCAGCAAAAAGAGCTTTTTATCATGTCAGTAGGAGAAGGAAAGGGATAGTCTCACTGTTAGGAAAAGATGGTAGGATACTAACAGGTGATGGGGAAGGGCAGAGTTCCTCAGTTCCTACCTTGATCTGGTCTTTTCCTCAAAGGGGAACTGTATGCGAATAACCCTAAGCAGAACAATTAGTACATGAAGGGACTGGCACCCCAAGGTAAGCACAGAGATGGTAAGGGATCATCTGGCTACCGTGAAGAAGTCTCCAGAGCCAGATCAATTATATCCACGAATCCTGAAGGAACCTGTGAACGTCATCATGGAGCCTCTTTCTTTGTGATCTTTGAGGATATAGTTTAAACAAGAGTCCAACAAAGTCTCAGAGCTGATTAATTAGGGCTATTGGATTTGGGCTGCAGATATCTGAATATCTAGTAGTTAGCAGCAAAGAGATACAGACATGTTAATATTTTATTTAGTAGTCACCTGAATATTGCAGTCATGTGGTTGCCCTTGACTGAAAACCAATGGAAATGTTTTATTTCTTGAACAGAAGTAATACTTTTGAGTTTGTTTTTGTGTGAGTGAAAATGGATCTCAAGTATGCACAGTAGTCTTTGTTCTGAAAGTATGGCTTGGGAACTTTCAGCTTGGAAGACAAATATCTTTCAATATCCGAGAAACCTGTTGGATATTGTTGTTTGGTCTGCATCAAGATTTTGATAAATTTAATTTAAATCAAAATAGTCACATGTAGCCAGGTGTGATGACCTACTAATCTGTATGCTTGCTCAATTTGCTGTCCAGGTGCTCACTAATCATGGATATCTTTAAGGTGCCTGCTGTCCAGCCAACACTGTAGAACAACTTGTAGCTCAGGAAAACACATCAACTATTTCTTTCCCATTCTCTCCCATTTGCTTTCTAGAGCATTCTTATCCTACTCTGAGCCCATAGTACATACTGGGAAATTTCAGTTCATGTTCAATATATTTTATTCATTTATCACATTTATATAGCTGCACATCTGACACAAAGCGACTCTGAGCAGCAGATTCTTTTCCATTTTTTCCTTGTGTCCTTTCAAGCTTTTAGACTTCATTTTGACAGGATCTGAAAGAGCATTTTTGTTGTAGCTGGATACCAGCATTGGAGAAAATTAAAGTTCAGCAGCATCTCTGGACTTCATGTTGACTAAATAATCAGTACTTTGCTACCAAAGTTCTAGCTGACTTCCCTAGTGCCCAAGTTCTTAGAGTGCATTGTGTTATAAACAACAATTATATCAGTGCAAGACTTCAAAGGAAGGGGTTGGCCAGCATTACTTGGTATACACCAAGACTGAGTTTTAGAATGATTACGCATTCCCTTTCCATGGAGGAAGTCTCCAGGAACACAATGGCTTAGCATGGTTTGGGGATATCAACACATAGCAGAAAAGAGCCACATTCTTGTGATGCATCTGTTCAGCACATACATTCAGTTCCAAGATGCTGAGCTTATTATAAAGATGCAGTACTAGGAGGATTAGTCATGGAAAAATGCTTTGGGGTCACTCAGAATGAAAAGAATCCCCTGTTCCCAGATGGAAAGAATAAAAGAAAGAAGCAGAGTTAAGGCAACCACTGAGCTGAAGGCCCAGGTGCTGTGAACAACACACAGATTCCAATCTATTTCATTTTGGCTGCCTCTTGAATGGGGCCCTTTCTTTTCAACCTAGCTCCTCCATATTGCTAACAGACCTTCAGGATAATCTTGAATAGAGCCTAGCACAAAATACCAACGTTTTCCCGACCCTTCCTTTCTCTTGTCAATATTTAGTTTATTTGGTTATCCATCAT